TTTTCATAGATTTCCGAATGGTATGTGTATGGGTATTTTAATCGGTTCAAATATCTATGTAGATCACGCATTTAGTTTCGCCCCATTCCATTTCAATGGTCCTCTAAAGATTATATGTCTGTTCTATCTACAGGATATTGTATATATTAGCATCTCTTGTATGTATCCAAATTTGTGAAGGGTATCATATAGCCGTCCCTGTCGGACTGCTGCATTGAGGTTTCCTAAAATTTATTATTTAAAGTGGGCTTAAAAGGAATACTTCCAAGTTTATAAAATCGTAGATTTTTTAAATGTAATATATTCGAAGTTTATTACAGCGTGGGTTTTCCAAAAAAAAAAAAAAAATATAGAGATATCTTAAAGAGGTAGATTTTTTAAACATATTTTTATAGTACTTTTTTGCCGTTTTTAGAATCCTCTTTATTAGAGTACCCTGTGGACCTTTTAATATAATTTATACAAAGATCTCTTCTATGAGGTCACTCTCACTATTGGAACAATTCTTTGATGAAAACGCATGTTCTGTGTGAAGGCCTATTCTATGGGAAGATGTCTTTCGTAAAAGACATGACATATATAATTAAAAAAATGTTTGTGAAAGAAGATAGTTTCCCTTTCCATAAAAATGCGCATCTGTCTTCTAATCCCTCTAAAAACCCTTTGCTAATCAAACACCAACACCTTTTTTCTATTTACACACTGCACGTACAATTGTCTCATTAATATTATGAGGTTCATAATGATGTGGGACATAGCATAGATATTTTGGTGCTCTTGAGCGTGTAACTGTGTTAATGGCTTATAAGCATTTAAAAGTGCGAGACCAAAGGAAAAAAAAAACCAACGAACAACCAACGCTCAATCCAAATGAAAGACTGCAATTGTGTGGATATTGTGTTCCCCCAGGGTATGACAGTCTATGAGTGGCGGTTGAGTTCGTAAATTTTTAGCTAATGCTTTCAGCATTTCACATTGCATTTTTTGTTTTTGCAAAACAAAAGCTTTGCAATATTCGTCTTTTATTCAGTTGTGCTGTGTTGTTTTCTGTTTAGTTTAGTTTCTCTCCACTCTAGTTGAGCCCGTTGTTGTTGTTGCTGTTGTAGTTATTTTAGTTTAAGCAGTCCAAAGCTGGTAGACCACCACTACACTTGCATATAGGCATTTGCAAATTCCAACCTACACATACACACACACAAAAAATACACTCGGTCACATTGCGAACTGCCGTCAGGATTACACAGACATGGTGGTATTATTCAAGTTAATGCCCCTAGTGTATTTATCTCAGGCTATGCCTAAACGAGTGCATTTGTATGTATGTGTTGTGTGTAGAAGACTTCATGCACTAGATCTTGTTAAGTGCAATATGACGAACATACATAGCCACCCCACCACCCACACACACATGCACTCTCACGTATATGTGTGTGCATTGCACACACATACATTTGTCCATGTCTGACTGCATTTAAATGTGTTACAGTATTTGTTAAGTCTCGCAGTATTCTATGCACGACTGCTTTTATTTTCATACCAATTGTTTGTGAGTGCTGAAGAACTTTTTGTTCTAGTTGATGTTGTTGTTGTTTTTGCTGTAATTATTATGCGCCGTAGGAGTTGGTTGGTAGGTGGAGGACGTACATTAAACAAACATGTCAGACCGACTAGCATTTTCCGAGTGCGAGTGTTTCTTTGGGGGCCTTAGGTTTTGTTTATGCAATTTGCAATAGCAATGCACTAAATTGCCAGTGGCATTTGTTTACGAGGCTTTGTTGTCGGAACAGTATTGCGATAATATAGACGTACATGGGAATTTTGAGATTGAGCTTTTTTAATAAAAAAATTTATTTTTTAAATTTTAAATCTTTAAAAACATTGGATGCCAAACAGTGGTGTTTTACGACGAAAAATCCATGAATTAATCACCGATCCTCCTACAGAATATTCCACTGCAATCTGTCCATTTATCTCAACCGCATACACGATCTTGGATATTCGAATTGTATATCCTTTCGGCCATAACCAGTATACGAGATTTAGATTTCGCCTAGTACCGTTCTTGCACTTAAAGTTCCAACGCAGAAATATACATCTTTATACAGAATTTCGAAAGAAGAGGTGGGAACCCCGAGATCCACACTACTCCTACTACCCCACCCTATCTGTATTAAAAAGGTAATTAACAGACTCCTTAATCTCACAATTTAATACACATCCAGGATCAGTATTTTCAATGGTGGATACTCTTTGGTGATCTGGAACTATTTTGTCGAGTTGTCGTTTTATTCCGTTTTGATGTTGGCTAGCACTGAAAACGCTGTGTTTCACGCCTCCTAAATCGTGTTGTTTGTACATGGACAACCATTTGTCACCAACTTGGTAGATGTCTTGAAAGGGGTAGCAGCATCCTCGTGCAATGAAGGAATTCTTTTGATTAGAAGTTCCCAAGTGACTTTTGGCGTGTAGTCACGAGAATAGTTCCCCAGAACCTCTTGGTGTTTCATAATCAGAAGGAATTTGTTGTATCTGAAGTTATTGTTGTCTGTATCTACATATCTTTAACACTATTAAATTGTCATCTGATATACCCCTGCTTCTTAGAAGTTAGAATTTTTATTGCCGAAATCAGCAGCATATTTCCAAATCTCTATTTGAGCCTGAGCTTACAATGTCGGGTCTAATCGGATAATTCTTGTGCGGGTTTTTTTAGAAGAGTCACAATATATAACCGGAGGTTGGAATCCAAATTACTAGTTAGAACGTAATATCAATTGAGCTATTTGATTATAGCTATATCTATATCTGAACCGATGTCAGCAGAACTTAACACATGTCATTGTACACTTGATTCGGTATGATATGCAAAATCTAGCCTTAATCTGACAAAAATTGGAGCCTGGAGTACCTGAAAGGAGGCGGACGATAGTAGATGTGAAAGCCATATCTAAATCTGTATCGATTTCAACTAAAAAACTTAGCACGCGTTATCTTGGACACAATGCGGTATGCTAAATAAAATATCATCTTAATCAGACAAGGTTTGGGTGATTAGTGCAAAATTTATATAAAATCAGAAATCAGAAAAAATATATTTGGATAGAATATAATTATACGAACCCATAAACACATAATTTAACACACATCATTTTTTTGCATATTAGCACTTGTTGAGGTGACACTCTATGGGCGAAATCTTCCTCCGAGTCAATCCGGTACATAAAACCAGCTGGCGTGGTATTTCGAATAAAAATTCTGCCAAATTTCGGAATTGAGACTTGGATGGGGTGTCTCCTGATTAAAGAAGTAAATCACCTTCATGAAGAGACGAAAATCATTCCCATCCATCAGCTCACCCAACAGTTGTCTATGCAGTTCGTGCTTGGTCGGGAACACCTCTGCCATAAGCTTTTGAACAGACTTCACCTGATAGAAAAGTTAGAAGTGATCTTCATAATCTAGACCAACAGGCCTATCAGGCAGGTCTGAATATCATCCATACAGGTGTAGTTCCCCATATGAATGTTACACTCGGAAACCATCCATAGAAGCAGAGGAGAAGAAGTTTTCTAGACAGACACTAGTAGTCTTAGCACAGTTGGGGGTTCCTAAGCGAAAATTCTTGGTATAAATTAATATACCGAAATAAGAGGAGAGAAAAATATGATTACCTAATAGTGGGCCCAGCGTTTTATGGGTCTATAGCAAAAAGGGATCAAAATTCGGTTGAAAGACGTGTCCGAAATTCGATATTAATCATTTTTAGAACAAGGATGGGCTATACAATTATAAGCCAAAATACCAAATTGAAATTTAATTGGGGATTACTATTATAAGGGAGCTACCCTGAAACTTGGGCCAATATTATTTTTGTTGTTGTCCGGATATGCGCTATACAATGAAAACGCAATATACTAAATTGAAGCCGATTCGGTTGAAAAACGTGTCAAAAAACTCAAAATAACGAATATTGGGGATTACCATTATATGGGGGCTACCCTGAAACTTGGGTCAGTATTAATATTTTTTGGTACGGACATGAGCTAAAATACTGTATATTAAGGGGGGTTACGGTAATATTTGTGGCTACCCCAACCCATGTACCCATATATCCCATTTTCAATACCAAATATCCTAGAAGTCTAACAATGTCTATGCAAAATTTTCTCTATCTTAAATGTTGCGATCTTAATCGTGATTTCCACCATCGGACATACAGACAAACACGCATACATCGACATAGAATTTTATTCTGTGAAGTGTTGAATAATTTGAAGTGTTACAAACGGAATGACAAATACACACCACCTTATGGTGGAGGGTATAAAAACGAACAACACGTGAACTAGGACAACACGACACATTACACTTATTCAACTACCCACATAGCTTACTCACATGTCTCTAAATTATCTTTAGGAGGAACCCATATATGTTGAAAACAATCTGAATTTGAATACAAAGGATACCGAACCAAATATCATCGTTTTCGAAGAAATATGGTCCAATCACACCTTCGAACTGAAATCGACAGAATGTAATGACCTCTCCTCAACTGTCAACTGTTACTTTTCAGAACTCAAAATCCGACAATTTTTTTTATTAACATACCCAACGAGTGAAAAATTCCTTCGGATAACTGCCGTCTATCGCCTGTTGTTCAGGCACTCATTGCTCGTATCTACGACATTGTGAATGGTCCGATTTTTACATTTTTAGACCAAATATGTATGTCACTGATTTTGAAACACTGTGCCTTGATAGTAGCTATTGTGGTTTCTTGTTGAGTAGTGCCAATAGAAATGAGACAACTTTGAAAAATAAAAAAAAAAATAGAAAAGAAAAGATTGTCTACAGTATGTCTTGAATAACAATTATTTAATAAAAAAATAATAATAACACATAAAACATTAAATATGTATATAAAAAATAAATTTCATAATTTTTTAACCCCACACAAATATTAATTTCATTTTGCCATTTCTCTGGTTTCATTTTAGGTCAACAATGCCGAAGTACAATACATCCCAACCATTGATAATTTGATTGCATCACGCATTAGCTTAAAACTGCAATTGCAAGGTATACATTTCAGTAGCGCTAATCCCTCGGTGTATGGCCATAGTGTTTATGGTTTAAATTCCGTACACGGCGGTGGATTAGTGTTGCGTTGCACCGCAACCATTGGTCAATTTTATCAGGAATACAAGGAAATTGAACTGGGTACACCGCAAAAGGATCCAGTGCCAGCACGAGGTAAGCATTATGTATTGGATTGGTTGTGCGTGAGTGAGTGAGTGTGTTTGTGATTTTAATACTGTGTGCAAATTTCAAGATATGCATTTTAAGCGAGTCTCTGTGTGTATGGGTGTGTGCGTGTGTTAGTCTTTGTTAATTGAGTTTTGTGTCGAAAAACAATCACGTGTGCAAATAAAGCTTGTTCAGCATGCATGCATGCAGTGTAAAATATTTGTTTTTTAAGTTTGAATTTCAATATGGAAAGGAATTTAAAGTGTAGTACACATTGGGGAATATACATTTTATTTTTATTTTTAATTTTTGAAATATTTAAACATTTATGTATTAAAAAAACAAAATTTAAATTTATTTGAAATAATTTTATTTTATTTTCCCTCCTTTTTGTCGTTACAGTAACACTTTCATCGAGTTCATCCGTACGAAATTTCATGTCATTCTTTTCATCCGGCAGTAGTAGAACCAGTTCATCGTCACTAGACCTCGCCAAGCTATTACTACTATCAAGCATATGGCATTTGAACAGCATCGGACTTCTATTACTGCAAATATATTCTATTGTATATAATGTCTTAAGGTACAAATTTAATCGACTTCTATGGCAGCTGCTGAGACATTCACAGAATGGTAATGTGCATTTACGTTTATTATCTCAAAGATAACTTTATGGCTTTCACAAAATCAATTAATTTTTCCATGAAATAAGTGACTACAACAACCTATAAAATAAATTGAAAATATTATTTAAATTAAAACTAAATTAAATAAATAAACAGAAACAAAGCAGGCATAAGAAGGAAACCAACACACACACAGTGGTTTGGAAATAAGTAAATATGGTAAACATTTTTGTAACTATTTTTTTAAAAATATTTTATAATTTAAATGATCTATCCTGTAAAGAAAAAAATATGGCAAGGCTTAGGTTTTTTTTAGTATCATAAAAAACTCCGTTTCCGGTATGTACGGAACGAACGATTTTTTATTTATTTATTTTTTGTCCAATCAATCACATGTGCTATATAAAGACGAAAAGGACCTGAATTCGAGAAATTATTATTAATAAGTATGTCCTACATATTTTTGTCAATGGTCCTTCAAAGGTATCTGTCCGATCGATAGTATATTGGACCCATACAACCAAAATCATTGGAAACAAACATTTGTTAACCTTGGTTTTAATTGGCATAAATATTAATAGTTACCTACAAGAAGCATAGAAACATATCTTGAATATACCCACATTGTATAGGGTATCATATACTCGACCCATTCAAACTGTTCTAACTTCCTTGTTGGTTTTTTTTTTTCAGAATTGGGTTCCGCTGGCTGTAACATTCTAATCAATTACTCTAATAACACAAATGAGGTCTCATATTAATGGGGAAATATTTTTCTTTATTATAGAAACAACAAATTTAATTTTTAAATCTAGGTTAAAGGGACAATTTAAAAACGTATCCTTACAAATAATTATTCACCTATAAAAGTTCATATTTATGAAAATACGAATAGATTTCGAAATAGCTAGACTTATTAGCTTTCATATGAAACTAATTTTATTACAATACCACCAACAGTTCAAAAGTTGTGAGACAAATACCCAAACATAAAAATTCCCATTCGCCATTTCAATCTATTGCATCAAAATGTCAGGTCGATACGGAAAATCAAGTCATTCGTAAAACTCAAATATCTTTTGAACGAATTATGATTTTTGGAAGATTTAAATTGTTGTGAGCAGCTATGAGTTCAATGATTGCCTGCGTACACCGATCATAAATAGGTTGTTTTCATAAAAAATAATGTCACGAATTGTTAGAATGCTTTCCATTGAATTTTATTAGGCAAACAAATTTGAAATCGAACGAATCTTTAAATAATTGTTAGATTTTTCAAGATATCTCAACACATTTTTTTATTTGAATTTTTCCTATACCTTGAGGTTCCGCAACGACCTGCCAATATTGGATTTATAAAAATTAACAATTTCGACACTTTATGGGACAGATACCCGAAGGAAGGGGTTTACTTACTTAGCTTCTTGACTTGTGACAGAAAATTTTTTGAATAACCTTCCATTTTGAAAGACCGTGTTTCGAAATGTTGTCTTCCACTTGCTCTTTCCATCGAAATCGTGGTCTTCCCCTTCTGCGTGAACCATCGGGGCATTCTCATCCATCTTCACAACATTTGCCAACGTTGTCGCTACAGCTCGATACGTTTGACTATGTCGATATCCGAGAATAGATCATACAACTCAAAGCTCATTCGACGGCGATATTCACCGTCGACGCAGATCGATGCGTAGATATTTCGGAGAATTTTTCTCTTTACATTTACCCATGCTTCAGATCCATATAACATTCTACAAAACACTGATACTATCCGTGCTGTCATATGGAGGGTGTGAGTTTAATATGGCGAGAGGAGGCCTTGTTTTTGAATTGCTTACTCAGACCATAGTACGATATATGGGCCAACACCATTCTTCTCCGGATTTCAAAGCTGATCTTATTAGCTTTGTTTATAGTGGTACCGAGGTGTAAAAAATCTTCTACTACCTCGAAGCTGCAGTTTTAAAGTTTCACAGTCGGTCCGAGTCTACTGGACGTCTTGCGCGTTGATACCATCACCTTGGTCTTCTCGCCATTTACTGCCAGTCACACTTTGGTAGACTCCTCAATTCGTTTTATTTCGTTTGACCTTTTCCAGGAATGGGCTGTCAAACAGGTCACACGACAAACTGTCACCTTGGCTGAATCTTCATTCGGTTTTAAAAGGCTCTGAGAGATCCTTTCCGGCTTTAACTGCTGACTTTGTGCCAATTAAGCTTATTCTGTATAGACGTATTAATGTTGCAGGAATGCCAAACGCAGACATTGCTTTAAATACCTCTGAGTGGTTTGGGCTGTCGAATGCAGCTTTGTAGTCGACGAAAAGGTGGTTTGTATGGATGGTGGATGTATTTTTCGTGGGTCTTTTCCTGATTTTGCCGCAATGTGAAAATTTGGTCTATAGTGGATTTGGCAGTACTGAAGCCGCATTGACCATTAGCTTCAGTCGTTCACACTGCACCCTGGATAGCACTTTAAATGTCATGGGAAGGAGGCTAATTCGTCTATAGTACAAATTATTAAAATCGGAAAAATTTGATCCTCCTTTGGGTTAGGTACTAAAAGGAGTGCATCGATAAGTCCTATCTTCCAGCAGTACATAAAATATTAGGTTGTGCAAAGTTCAGTTCAAATCGGTTTGTTCGTTCGCATGATTTTATAAGAATATTTGACCATTTTGTATGGGTGGTAACATAATGAGTGGACCGAGATTCCTCATATTCGAACTTGATTTAAGATTGGAAGAAATATTACGATGTGGAGAATTCTGATGAAATCGGTTTCTTCCTTCGAGGGCTACTGTGTGCTCCAGCCAGAGAGGCCGACGGACATTTGTAAATCAGCCAAATTGTAAATCAAAACCAAATTAGCCACATTTAATATTTTTGTACCCTCCAGCATAGTATGGTTCTTGAGCGTTTTTCAACTGAATTCGCTGAAATTTGGCACTTTGAGTTTTTATTGGGTAGCAAATCTCTCCACTAAAAATTATAAATTTGGGTCCATATTTTCGGATAGCCCGCACCCAAAATTTTGCGGTATTTTGGGGGTTTTGTTCGCAGTTTTCGGCCGAATTCGCTGAAATTTGGTACTTTGAGTTTTTATGGGGCAGCAAATCTCCCTACTAAAAATTATGAATATAGGTCTAGTTTTTCGGATAGCCCCCATATTGGGCGCGTTTTATAACTGATTTCACTGATATTTTGTACATTGGGTTCTTATGGGGTACCAAATTACTCCACTAAAAATTATAAATATAGGTTCACTTTTTCTGGTAGTCCCCATATAATGGTACCCCCAACTTTTCGGTATTTTGGTGGTTCTGATCATTTTTTCCGACCGAATTGACTGTAATTTAGTACTTCGAGTTCTTATTGGGTACCCCCAATTTTTGGTATTTTGGGGTTCTTGAACGCGATTTTCAACCAAATTCTTTGTAATTTGATTTTTTGTAGTCGTATATGGTAACAAACCTCCCTCCCAAAAATTATTAATATTCGCCCCTTTTACGGTAGTCTTCAGATAACCCCCTTGTTTATATTAAAATAGTTATCTGATTTGTTCCGCGTTTGGGGTTGGGTTCTAAGACTTTGTTGTAATCATTCTATCTGCGGAGGATATCGAGATAAAAAATTAGAACGTGAGGTCCGAAAATGAACTATTTGAAACCTGTGGTGATGGCCTCATATAACTGTAATCTCTAAATTGAATACGTCGTCAATATCGGTCCCGTCGGGTATTCAGGAAAAATATCCATAAAAATTTCTGAAAATTGTATTTCATATATATCGGCAGGCATTCAGGCATCTGCTCCATATAATGATAATTCCTGAATGGAAGAATTGAGATACATAACAAAGCCAAAGGGGTTATAAGAATTTATACTTTACCATGCGTTATTAGTATCAGTCCACGCATTGGGGTTTTCGGATTTTAGGAAAAATCCCCATTAAAAATTGCTGAAATTTTTATTTGGTGTACATAATGGTTTACATAAATCCGTTTGTAGAATTATCGGTGTAGGTTGTTTTTGGTATTTTCTCCATATTTTCATTTCAAGTATCTGTCAGTATATCTATGGTGGAGGGTATCCAAATTCGGCCCGGCCGAACTTAACGCTTATTTTACTTGTTATATTTATTTTTAATTTTTTTTATATATTTAAATGTTATTTCATGGTCATTTATTTACTATTCCCAAACCACTGTGAGCTTTAAAAACAAATATTTAAAACAACAAATTGTGTTATATATTAAGCGTAAAATGGTGATGATGTTGATAGCGGAGATGCGGAGTTATAAAGTCAGCTGGACAATGAAAACGATAATGATAATTTTAATTTTAATGCTTATTTTTATTATTATTATTGTTTTTTCTAAACAAACACAAGTGAGAAACCCCTTTTTTGTAGAATTACGATTATTATTAATAACAATTATATTTTTATAGTTATTACAATTAAGGCAAACAAACAAAGAAGCATACGCAAAAATATAAATAAAACATAAACATTCAAGCTATAAAAATAACAATATTGTAATTGTTTATTAATTGTTTTTGTCTGTTTCTAGATGTTAAGACAGTGTGGTGTAAAGAAAGGGTCAACCACCAACCCTAACCTTCCCATCCAAAACAGAAATACACAAGCATCCTCCTTCTGTCCCTTACCAAGAACAAAACCAAAAATCTGTATGAAATTAAATGATAAGATACAAGGATAATATAATTTAATTGAATTGAATTAAAATTCAATCAAGACAAGAGATCTTGAGTGTAGTTAATGAAATCTGTAATAATACAAATAATTGATATAATGAATTAACAGGAGAAAAAAACAAATAACTTTATTTTGTAAGTTTAACTACAAACTAAATTATTATTAAACACATAAAAAATAAATAATAATGAATGTTTTAAAACAAAAACACAATATATAAATAAATACCCAATAAAGAACAAAGAAAGAAAAAAAAAACGAAAAATAAGTAAAAACTATGCCTCTTGGCAAAATGAATATGTCCTCCCTCCTTAACTGAAATCCAACACTCACACTAACATACACTCACACTCACCAACACATACTTCATGTAATAAAAAAAACGTAACGTCGTAACATTTTAAATGTGAACACAACCACAAATGGAATATAATTAATAATATTATGTGCATAATTGCAGTTTGGCGATGTCGATGACGAGAGCAAAAAACCAAATTACAAAAACAACAACAACAACAAGAAAAACAAATCAAACACATTGTAAATTAATTAAAAACATACAAAGTAAATTAAAAATTTAATATGCATATTGTAAAAGTATGAACATATAATAATGACGATAATGTGAGATGAAATTATAATAATAATAAAAACAAAAACAACAACAACAAGAAGAACATGACAAAAAAACAACAACAACTAAATAAATGAAATGTTAATTTTAAAATATATGGAATTGTTTTATAATTGAGTTTAACATGATAAACGATGAAGTAAGTATTGATTGGATAAGGAGAAACAAATGAAATAGATGTATCGAAGTTGGTGGGGGCTCATTATGGGCATCAATGGCGTACCATTCGAAAAATCAAGAAGAGAAACAAGACATATTTTTTGGTCAACTTTTTGACACAGGATACGCCTTATATAAAGCGAATAATGGAACATGTTTTTATTCCGTAGACTTCCGCAAACTATAGGTTGTCGGTCGGCAACAGCGACTGATACTTTTATGAACACAAATAATGTTTCATATAAAACAACCAT